CACCCAGCAATTGGAAATAACATACGAAATATACGATAACAAGATCAAGTGCTCGTCAGACTACTTTCTGTTGAAATATTATGTTCTCTGCATGGTTGATTTATTTAATTAGACAAATATTTGCCCGTACATTTTTGTATTTCTTTGTCGAAAACCAAAGGCACTCGATTGAATATTTTAATAGTGTCCTATGAAATGTGGACTCTATGCAATCTAATCGCGACCAGTCACGTTTCAATTATTGTGACTTAGGTGTGGGCAATGCAAACAAAGAGTCCGTCTTTCATAGAGTCCAAATTTCACACTTCATTTGTACAACGGTATACTATTATAAATCACCAGACTTATTGTGATAACTATTCCAAGAGCAATGACGTCTGGGTATAAAACCATGCAAACCACTCATACGCATAATATTAAAAAGCTATAGTAATTCGAATTGGCAGATTACTTTCTTATTCTAAAGCAAGCAGCCTGCATTTATTTAACTACTGTAAAGCGACGACGTATCCTATTGCATCTAAACAGTCAAATCTTGTCATGATAAATTCTAGCCTCAATTTATCATTCGAAATGTGCATTTTGAATACAATGAAATATTTTGCTTTATCGTCCTTTTGTGCACATTGGATAAAGCCGTAAGTTTTAAGAAATTGTAAAAGGTCATTTTTGGTTTCATTGAGGCCTGGTGTTACAGGGCATAGAACTGCATGAAATAAAAGATATGGCGAAATTGTTTTGTGCATCTACTTTTTCGTTATTGGAAAGTTCTGGATAACATTTTTCTCATAAGCCTTAATGCTTATACCGTCTGGTTTTCCAAACCAAAACACTTTTCTTTGCATCTTCTTCAACATTTTCGTTTTTGGAGTGTTCTGCCCTCTGGCTAAAGTAATCATTCATCCGAAATAAGGATAAAAAATATACACTTCTAGAGAAACATAGGGCCTACTATGCTAGATTTAGAAACAATATTTTGTTTGCATGTACGGCTACTCCACCTTTTTCGTAATTGGTAAAACGGAATGAAATGAGGATAAAATAAACACTTCTCCACTAAACATATTTTTTTCTCATGTATTATGCTAGATTTCGAAATCAGAAATATGTTGCATCTACTCCCAAAATCACAAACGTCTGAGTATACAAATTAATAGTAGGCAATATTATGAAGCTATTATAATTTTAATTGGCGTAAACAGTTACACAGCAATTGACTACAGTTTCTACTATCTTACTCCGAATATATGTCTTTCACCATGATGTTACCAATTTGAGGATTTTCATTTTATACGATCCTCACAATTTAAAACACTCGACATCAATTATTGAAACCAAAAAACATAAACCAAAAAAAGCAATATTAAAAATGTAATTTTATCGTTACAATCAAACTAAATACAATCAAAACGAAACCATTAAAGATTTAACTTTATGCAAACATGCTAAATATTTGAATATTCGACATACTAATTCTACATATAGGCCTACTATACTACGGGGTTACATTGATTGTATACGTCCGAGCGTTCACATTTTTTTTTCATCTACTCTGATTTTTTTGTTATTCTGTTCTGCCTTAAGCAATCATTCCTAAAAAAGAATAACATAAACACTTCCCAATTTACAATATTTTTCTCATGAATTATGCTATGTATCGTCTATAGATGATTTCCAAACCACGATTTAGGTAACAGAAACTTGGTATTAAATCACAGCCTGAGTATTTGCTTTTCATAAATTTAAATCAACTTAAACTAAATATTGGGTTATAACAAAAACATTAACAAGTGTAAATGTATGCAAGTACGTATATGACTGTTCTACTGCAGGGTTACATGGACAACATACCTTCCAATAAACGTTTGTATAATGGTCACGTAACTACCATAATGTAACCAACTAATATAACAATATTCTCGTATACTTGTGATGATATGACAGCAATGAATGACTATACGTCTGGGTATACAAATTAATAGTTGGCATAATATCAAACTATTATAATTATAATTGGCGGGAATAAATTGACATAGCATTTGACTGCAATTTCAATACTATCCTACTCCAAATATTATGTTTCACCATGATATTCCCGATTTTACGATTACCATATTATACGTTCCTCACATATAACACTTCACATCCATTTTTTTTAAAGTAGCACCACTTCTAAATGTACATGTAATTATTCTTACTAGCTACACAGATTTAGTATGTGGAATCAAAATGATCTATTCGTTTACAACAAGAGAAGCTGGTTCCTGTCAATATCGGTCTTCGCTGGGAATCGAAATCATGCAATCAATGTAAGGCTAACAGCCTTTTTTGCAATCCAAATTGCAAATTTCCCATATTAGTACCACTCGATTTTCGGATAACATTCTTCTTACAATCATGCACTTCTGAGTATCGACTATGCAAATAACAAACAATGAACATACATAATGATTACATACCTGCATGTCTAGGGTTAACACTTAATCACCTAAATATTGTATTTTAATGTTCATGTATATCCAACTACTTTTCTATTTTAATCCTATTTATATCGGCACACGATAAACTACAAATATCATCACAATGAAAACATGATTTCACTTTAAATATACCAACGTTTGTTATCGTTGGAATCAGATGACCATGATGGGGAAAATACATAACACTTCTGATAAGTCATGCCGTGATTATAATCAATTCATTAATTGATACACCAATGCATCAGGAGCTGTTCTACATGTTGCGTGCGTCTAAGTAAATGTATATTACGACAAAACCTGTACATGTGCATCTACTCCCAAAATCACAAACGTCTGAGTATACAAATTAATAGTAGGCAATATTATGAAGCTATTATAATTTTAATTGGCGTAAACAGTTACACAGCAATTGACTACAGTTTCTACTATCTTACTCCGAATATATGTCTTTCACCATGATGTTACCAATTTGAGGATTTTCATTTTATACGATCCTCACAATTTAAAACACTCGACATCAATTATTGAAACCAAAAAACATAAACCAAAAAAAGCAATATTAAAAATGTAATTTTATCGTTACAATCAAACTAAATACAATCAAAACGAAACCATTAAAGATTTAACTGTATGCAAACATGCTAAATATTTGAATATTCTACATACTAATTCTACATATAGGCCTACTATACTACGGGGTTACATTGATTGTATACGTCCGAGCGTTCACATTTTTTTTTCATCTACTCTGAGTTTTTTTGTTATTCTGTTCTGCCTTAAGCAATCATTCCTAAAAAAAGAATAACATAAACACTTCCCAATTAACAATATTTTTCTCATGAATTATGCTATGTATCGTCTATAGATGATTTCCAAACCACGATTTAGATAACAGAAACTTGGTATTAAATCACAGCCTGAGTATTTGCTTTTCATAAATTTAAATCAACTTAAACTAAATATTGGGTTATAACAAAAACATTAACAAGTGTAAATGTATGCAAGTACTAATATGACTGTTCTACTGCAGGGTTACATGGACAACATACCTTCCAATAAACATTTGTATAATGGTCACGTAACTACCATAATGTAACCAACTAATATAACAATATTCTCGTATACTTGTGATGATATTTTCATCAGCAGCAATGAATGACTATATGTCTGGGTATACAAATTAATAGTTGGCATAATATAAAAAAAAACTATTTCAATTCTAATTGGCGGGAATAAATTGACATAGCATTTGACTGCAATTTCAATACTATCCTACTCCAAATATTATGTTTCACCATGATATTCCCGATTTCACGATTACCATATTATACGTTCCGCACATATAACACTTCACATCCATTTTTTTTTTTAAAGTAGCACCACTTCTAAATGTACATGTAATTATTCTTACTAGCTACACAGATTTAGTATGTGGAATCAAAATGATCTATTCGTTTACAACAAGAGAAGCTGGTTCCTGTCAATATCGGTCTTCGCTGGGAATCGAAATCATGCAATCAATGTAAGGCTAATGGCCTCTGTTTTAATCCAAGTTGCAAATCTCCCATATTAGTACCACTCGATTTTCGGATAACATTCTTCTAACAATCATGCATTTCTGAGTATCGACTGTGCAAATAATAAACAATGAGCATACATAATGATTACATACCTGCATGTCTAGGGTTAACACTTAATCACCTAAATATTGTATTTTAATGTTCATGTATATCCAACTATTTTTCTATTTTAATCCTAGTAATATCGGCAGACGAAAACTACAAATATCATCACAATGAAAACATGATTTCACTTTAAATATACCAACGTTTGTTATCGTTTGAATGAGATGACCATGATGGGGAAAATACATAACACTTCTGATAAGTCATGCCGTGATTATAATCAATTCATTGATTGATACACTAATGCATCAGGAGCTGTCCTACATGTTGCGTGCGTCTAAGTAAATGTATATTACGAAAAAACCTGTACTCACTTTGAACGGCTTGTCTACCTTGACAGGGTTACCTGATAATGGCGACTTGAGAAATGCAGAAAAAAATGTATATTTTCAAGAGCTTATTCTAAAGATTCAAGAGCAAGTTTAGAACACGATAATATGCAAGATGCGCTGTGACATCACAAATTACGTCAAACTTTTGGCTGGCCAAAAGAACAGGTGGAGGGTCTGCTATGTTTTTCTTGGGGGGGGGGGATTGAGAACTGACTGCGCGTTAACTGAGACGTCATGCACTATGACCATAGAAAGTTAAAGTCAGAAAAAAAAGACTCCGGTTTTGTAATAATGTGAATAATATCGATGTTTTCTAATCAAGTCTGTCATCTTAGGGGAAAATAGACAAAGCAAGCCTAGTATAGCTGGTCCCAGAGCGCACACAATTATATTACGTTGATTCAGAAGTCAAGGTAAGTCAATTCTCCATGCGCGCGAGTGGCGAAACTCCGTGAAAGTGCATTTTTCATTTACACGTTACCACTGCGGCAAACTTTTTATGTGTCATGAAAGACTATGTACATAGACGCGTGATTAGGCAGACCTCGTATAATGCTCCCAGGCGAGTCTAAGCCACAAGTGACCAGTTATTGAAGAACGTGTTGAAAACGGACAAAATTATTTAAACAGTCACAAGGGATGGATCAAATGATCGCATCACTTTTAGTCAAGAGCATTTTTCTAATATTTCGATCGTATACGGGCGGCATTTTTTTCACCTTAGTGACGGACCAAGTAACCTTGATTCACTGCATACTGCAGCAAAGAATAGAGTGCATGTCAGAGGGCCAAGCATGCAAGTTAGCGCAAAGAGGCACTTGTAGGTGCTGCAGTGATATTCATTTAATTTGACAGTTTTGTAACTCTGGGTAAAATCGTGCAAGTCAGTTGTGATCCGGGAAATTAATGAGAATATGACAATAAGGGGAAACTCTCTAGTTTTGCCAAAATGGAATAGCAATATAATGAAAAAGTATCTCACATTTGTTTTCTCCGAATGTTTGCCAACTACCGATGATCCATTACGTGGGATGGGCAGCAATTCAGGATATTGAGCTTGCTTGATGAGATCAAAATACATCGTACATAGAAGCAAAAGTTGGGTAATTTAAAGTAGCAATGTCACGGATGAAAACTCAAAAGAATTTGGCCTGTGTAAACTTTAAAACAGCATGTTCGTTGTAAGCTTGTGTTTTTTTTAGAGGTTAGAAGATTGCTCATTGTGACATCAATGATGCCCAAAACCTTGCAAACACGTTTGGTTTCTTGTCTTTTCCGGCAGGCTGGAACATTCTCTTGTAATCCTGGAAGGGGTCGTAATGTTCATCTTTGACCTTGTCCAAGATTTCCGCCTCTTTCCTTACTCCCTGCAATACATTTACTCTGGTTTGCCAACCTGGCACGTGACTGCGTTTCTCACTTTCAATCAGGACGTCCACATACTCTGGAGTGCTCAGTGGGTTTGGTTTCAGTGCAATTTCCTCTAGACGCATGATACTTTGACGCGTGTCAGACACTAATTTGTAGACACAAGCGCGGACCGCTTTTACTTCTTCAACCTGCTTTCTAATCACCTGTTCTACTGTCATCTTCTTTCCTGATGCATCTTTGTACCTTGCTTCTATTTCTCCATAGGTCCTCTGTTCCTTCTCGGTATAGAACTCAAACCTGTAAGGCTGATTGAAATGCACATTCCATGCACATTTTCCCGGACAAACGGTACATTCACCATCTTTCATTGCCTTACATTTATCCTTCTTCGTGTCGTCAGCAATGTAACATGGGTAGTGGCAGGTGAAGTGACACTTGCTGCAGTTGGTTATGAATTCACCTCCAGTTATCTCAACCATCTTGGACTTTGGAACTTCAAGTTCGAATGTGAAGTCTTTGTTTGCTTCGATCTCTGTCTCATGTTGCTGAAGAAGCTGATGTTCCCTCTGTAGCTCCTCCAGCTTGCAAATTCCAAGATTAATCTGAGGTTGCAGACCCTGTACCGTCACCTCCAAATGCTTTCTTTCTTCAAGTACTTCTTTCGTAAGGACAAGACTTCGAGCTTCCAGAGCATGGGTTTCATTAAGGAAGTCTGCCATGTTCTCCTGACCCATCTTCCAGAACAAGTCCGTCATATCACCCTTTTCTTCCTTGCTTGCCTTCTTTTTGGAACGATTGTGATTCTTGTCATGCCCCGAAAACAGTGCAGAGTTGTTGAACTTGAATGCGCTACCAGTGTAGGGTATTTCTGCCGCTTTGACTGCAGCCAAAACAGGCGGTTCGCTCTGGTCTGCGAACGTCACCAGAAGGCGAATGTTGTCCGATATATCCTTCCCAAAAACAGACAAAATGGAATCGAACACGTACTTCTGAGTCGGTGTCAACCGAGCCTGGGACGCCTGAACGACGAACCCGATAGCGTCAATGTGATCGATACCGTGGGACTCGGAATCCAAGAAGAACTCACGGATCTTGTCCATGATCGCCTTGTCTCGTTCGACGCCGCGCGTGTCCCCAAAGCCGGGAGTGTCGATTATAGTCAGAGTGTAGGGCAGGCTGAGATAATTGTCGCGATAGATAGTGTAAGATGTGAGGACCTGAGTCTGGCTGTGAGCTTGAGAAGACCCTCTCGCCTCGTTCACATCGACCATCTTGAAGCGGAAGTCATCTTTCCGGTCAACGTCCAAGATGTGGTTGGCCATCGCGTTGATGAGGGTACTCTTGCCCGAGCCAGTTACACCAACCACCATGATCACTTTGTGTTCGACACTCTGCATTTTCGGTGGCTCACCGAAGCTAAAACTTCGGCCATGGGGTCTGCAGCATACTTCTTCAAGTGGGAATCTTAAGATGCACGGTTTTCCGTTCTTTTTATATCCGGGTTGCAACATCTTGGCAATGACTCTTATTTCATGCTTCAGAAGCTTTTTGGTGGTGAATGAGACAACTTTGCTACTTTCGCCCAACTCGTCATCACCACAGACGGCAGTCACCCAGATTGTGAACTTGGTTTCTGGTGTTGCGTCGCTGATGGTAGAAGTGCAGGAGTCGTCGTTGGTCTTGATTTCCATCTTTTCAGCAGAAGCAGTGCCATCAACAATCTGGTATTCAACCTGGTAGTGCTTTATGGCTTTTTGTCGGCTGATCACTGTAGGCTTTGACCAAGTAACTTCGATATCTGTCGCCGATATCTGTTCAACTGTCACGTCAGTCGGAGGGCCAGCCGGAAGCGTCGTAAATGGAACGCTGGGTTCACTCGGTGTCATGAAGTTATTCTTGCACACCAGTACTACACGAGATATGTACGTGGTGTCCGGCATTAGATCTGACAGCTTACATTCGTCATTCATACCATTGGGCAGCGGCTGTTTCCACGTCCATTCTGCTGACGGGCTCTGCTGTTCCTGAGCGAGTTCTATGAAATATTCCTTTAATTTCACGCCTTGACCTACTTTGGCAGGGCCGGTCCACTTCATGTCGACACTTGATGCGGTAACATTGCCCAGCTCCGGTTTGCCTGGCTGGCTGACAGGAAACGTAGCGCAGATATCGCTGTTTGCACTGGGAAGACTAGTCACGCCAGAATCGTAAATGGCAACCACCTGAAACACGTAGGATACGTTGGTTTCCAGGTTGTGTAAGGTGAACCTTCCCTCCGAAGATCCAGTCTCGAATTCTTGTTGCCAATTTGGCACTGCCCCATTTACAACCTTCCCATACTTGATGGCGTAACTTCTGATGGTGACTTTTTTCCCTGACTGAGCAGGATGTTCCCACTCAAGAGCAATGCTAGATGCTGAAGCAGGACGTGCATCTGGCTTCCCTGGCGGGCTGGCCGGTAGAGTCGTCACCCTGTCACTGCTCTCACTGTCTGGACTGACGCCTACAGAACAGACTGCTGTGATCTGGAATTCTAAGGCTTCATTGGGTTCCAGGTTTTTAAGTGTGAAACATGTATCTCCCTTTTCTGTGCGAACTTCATCCGAGATAGCTTGCTTCTTCCCACGAAACCTCTTGAATTTGACGAAGTACCTCTGCACACCGTCCTGGCCGTACTGTGGCGGAGACCATGATATATCGATAGTATTATGATCGATGACGTCACACTGAGGCTTTCCTGGATGGCTTGGTGGCTCGAAGTCTTCTTGGGCAAGTGTACCTTGCTCGTACAATAAGACTGTGCCACCGACTCTAGCCTCTTCTCCGGTTGATGAGCCAACAGAAAACCCAGTCACGATGAACTTGGTGCATTTTGACTCAAGGTTACTGCGAAAGAAGTCGGCGAACAGTCTCGCCTTGGTTCTCAAAAAACTCATCACAGAACCTTCGTCACACCATTGGTGAAAGCTATAGTTGCTTTCCTTTTTCGTGGTGAGGTACTGAGACAGGGATCTCAGATATCCTTCTTCTTTGCCTGCCAATCGAAAGGTAAGGCACACAACATTATCTATGCTTGGGTCCATCAGGATATCATCCAGGCTTTCTTGAGACTTGATTATCTCTACGTCAGGCAGATACTTAACGTACAAACAAACAGCACTCAACTCTTTGCGCTTGCTTTTAAGCCAGGCATCAAGTTCGGCCAATTTGAAGGGCGACACTGTTGCTGCGTTCTGCAGCATTTCCTTCAGGACGCTTTCCCCATCGCTACCTCCTTGGATTGAGGGCAACACGCGCGCAAACTCTCTTTGAAAGTGCATCTTATACTCGCTGAGCATTTGCTTAAAAAACGCGAACTTCTCGGCAAACTGTGGAAAATTTTTGCACAGTGGATCAGCCGCCATTTCGCTGGCTCGCGCAGAACAACGCTCTAAACCCTCCAGAAATTCTTGGGCCTGTGAAAGAAGACCATCGCTCACAGCCTTGCATACCCTGGCTGCTCTTGAATCGATCTTGTGCAAGGGGTACAAAAAGAACTTTACCGGAACTGCATTTTCTTTGATCATAACAGGTATCTCTGTCAGTAACTTGGAAGCAGCTTTGTAATCAAAGTGGCAACCCTCTACATCTAAATCACAGCGAACCTTACACTCTACACCACTTGCTGCATTAGGATCAAACGTGGATGATTCCCCCTCAGCTGGAACGGAACTGAAACCACCCACCAAGGGAATGAGTGATTTCAGACAGTTGTCTTTTGTTTCTTCCCCACAAGTTTTGTCGAAGATAAAGAAAGTGTTGGACCCATACAAAATCCCCCCCACTACGTGAGTGGCCTTCCCTTCTGTGATCACCTCTGAATTCTGAATTTTACAACTACCCAGTTGATTGAGTGGCAGTTCTTCGATCACGCTCGTGGCTTTAGAGTGCACAGAAAGGCGACACGTGCCTTCTGGCGGCGGCTGATCAGTCAGAAACTTAGCCGAGCCTGCCGGTTGCACTGAATCAGCCAGAATGCTTGCTTTCAGAGACTCGTCTACCTCGAGAGCTTTGGATTTGTCGTTGAATGTATGGGACCTCACGAGGGTCACTTTGTGACTTTTCTTTTCACTGACCTTCTTATTTTCTGATATGGTCTCTTGGGCCCAAAGGGTGGTACCAGGCGAGATGATTTGATGACTGCGGCAATCATACAGGGTACCGAGGCACATCCGTCGGCCGACGGCTGGGAGCTCCAACGTACCCTCCATCGGGAGGATGAGTTCTAACCTTGCCACTCGACCAGTGATGTCTGTAGCTAAAAGATATTAAAACATGGAACACTTACCGATAAATCATCTTCCATTGCATTTTTTTTAAATGTTTTTTTAACGCTTGTGTCCTTTCAAACATCTGTGTTTCACAAAAAAAGTCGAACAATTAATCCTAGTTATCAACCTTAAATCATAGTCAACCTTATTTTAGGAGGATATATACAACCGATAAGATTAAGCTGAATGGCTTAAGACTTCTTGTTTTGGAGATAAGATTGATATTTTGGGGAAAAGAATAATTTTAAAGTTTTGTGAAATGGACGGATGTTGCTGATGGAAGTGCACCCAATTATAAGATGTGTGATAAGTGAACACTGCGCCGAGTAATTAATGAAGCCTGCATGCTGTTTTTTTTTTTTTTTTTTTTTTTAATTTCTAGGCCTTCACTTAGGCCTATGGAGGTTTAGTTTTGCAATAACGAGAAAAAAAATTTGCAATGGTACAGAAAATAGCTTTCATTATGTTGACTTTTTACCTGATTTTTCTGCCAAGTCCAGTGAATTGTGCAGTTGTACGTAATGATTGATACGTCACAATCAAATCTGGGGAAACAAATTGTAAAAAAAACCTATTTTGTTAAGCAAGTACAACCAAGGCATTGTTTGGCAATATATTCAATTTGCAGCCTTGTATTTCAAAAATCAGAATAAGATTTGTTCAAAATTTAAAACGATTAAGTTTATTTGTATTTGCTTCAATGCGTTTACGATAATTTTGTATTTTATTATATTCTTACCCACCGAAACAAGCTTTATCCGATCATATAATCCACGTCAACCAAAGCCTAGAAGATTCAAACCAATCTGTCTGGGGAAAAAAATAAAAATGGCGTACCTGGGTATCATTGTTGGGGTCATTATTGGATAGGTTTATGCAATCAAACACATAATTAAAATCAAATTCAGGGTATTCCCTATCACTTTGTTAAACGAACCGCAAACGAATTTCACACCAATATTCTTTGCAATATAAAACATGCCTATGAACTGAAATGTGAATAATCTGACACCATTTTGGAGGTTTTTTTCTAACAAGTTTATTTCCGCATCACTATTTACCCTATTTTTTTTTCAATTCGGCATTCACTAAAAAGTTTATTGACTTCCTGTCAGAATTCCAAATCGCAGCTCCTCATAAAGTTCGAAAACGAAATCTGATCTATTTCTGGCAGGGCGTCATGCATTCAACTATATAAGAAAAACATTGTTCTGCTCATTTAATTTTTCTGCAAACATTTGGAAAAACCCCACCTTAAGGCCTGAAACAGTATGGCAATACAACTTCGATACAAGATTGAAACGAAGGTGAAAAGGGTGCACTTGCAATGAAGAAGTCATATTGAACATTCATTTTGTTGTACAACAATCGAAACATTACCAGGCTTCAGCAAAAAAATACCACAATTTCATTTTGTGACGTCTTTTCACTGATGGAATGCATAATTTGACAACAGTTAGAAAGACTAATATAGTTATGGACAAGGAATAGAACTTAGAACTATATTAAATATAAAAAATATATGCTTCCGTTTTTTATCTGTCTTTTTTTTTACTGGCTTTGCTTTGATTTTTAACATTTTTGGAAGTGAAGAATACTGATAACACTTGGCTGCACGCTTTATTTGTAACGAACTATTTACATGTGTTAGCCTTAATGATTGCCACACATAATGCATTTTCATTGGCGTTCCACAGAAAGCAATACACTGGGTCGATTGCAGTCTGTCAACGGTATGTGCATACAAAGCCAAGTTCGCAAATAGACTGCAGGGGTTTCCCCAAGTGAGAAATTCTCTGACGTCATTCAGGACAACATCTTTTCGAACGTGCAGTTGGGTAAAGAGCCTTAAATATAAAAACAGCTCCATTTCCGTTTACTTGAAAATCACAAAAGATAAAGCCAATATTCATATGCTTAGAAGCTTGGTGTGGGTAAAATCGTGAACTAAAAAGGCATTAATGGGGGGAGATGCAATTGGGAAACATGCTAAGCAGAACATACCGAGAAAAAAAATACGGAAAAAGCCAAATTTACTGGGTACCAGCCACATGATGTTTTACACCGTGACATTCCAAGGACTGTAACCAGCGGAAGGGATGGGCGCGTCCGTGCTAAGCATATATGAAAATTAATGTTAAGCAGTTTGCCGAAAAGGTCTTTTGTTTACTGATACTGATAGGCTATTCTATTTTGAAACAATTTCTGGAGGTTTTCCCCGTCTTTTCCATCCTAGCGACAAATCATTATGGTCAATAAAAGTGAAACCAGGTTTTGGAGGAAGAAAGGAAATTACACGCGGGTTTGCTCTAGGCAAGCTAGTTACAGCGAATTATTTCGAGATGATGGATTTTCCCCATTTTTTTTGCGAAATAAGAATCATCATGCACAAACACCCACACAGTTACATTTAAATGAGAAAAGTTAAGCACGATTTGATAAAAATAAATAAGTAAAGGCCAAACTGCCCAGTCATGCCGGTGGTTCGGTCGGGTGCGGGCCACCCAGCAAAACTAGCTGCTAAAACTTACAAGTTTTAATTCCCCTTGAAATTCTGGATAGTTGGACTATGATAGGTAAGATTGAGTTGTACTTACGATTTCCAATTCTAAGCGGAGAAGTTTAAAAGTATCCTTGGAAGCCTACATCAGACAGCGCACCATCTGAACTACAATGGTGAATCTCTGTGAGTGGGACTGTAAAAAATGTATTCCTATGGCCATGCTACCACGCTCGCGCGGCGTCGGGCCGGCCGGCCGCCAGGATGTTAATTATTCATCACCTGACATTCGGGTGTGTCGCCTATGGAAAGCCACTTGTTACCGTAAACTTCACGAGCAAAAACTCACGTTTTAGGGCCACATTTTTAATAGGCATGTATTCATAATAATCAGTGAGTTAATATTTTGTACCGTGGCTGTCCTTAGCCGACCCCTATGCACCCCGCCGATTAATTATATTATTATGCACGCATGCGCATACTCTTGTCACGGTATATTGTACATGTATTATTTTATTAGTTCATAGGATAGGATCTATTGCAAAATTTCTGAAAGTTTGGAAATCCCCAAGATGAGAAATCATTTCATCATACATGACGTCAACAGTTGTCAGTTGTGTTTTGCTCAGTTCCAGACCAACTGGAATGTTTTGACAAGATGACAATAGACCTTTCTACACTTGGTTGGCAAACTGCATTTTTGCCAACCACGGGTTGCAAAACTGTGGAAGGTTCAACACTACAAAAATAAAAACATGCCTTTTTTACTTTGTATTGAGGGCGTTTGGGGGAAATTTTTCGGTAAAACATGTTGCCAACCACGGCTTCAATATATGCGCTTGCGGCAGCCCATATAAAATGGCGCCAATGTTTACAAACAAAAGAAAGGTCTATAATGCGCTTTTTCGCAAACACCAAAATGTTCAAGAGCCATAGTTGCAATGTTGTGTAGCGCCCTTGCATAATTATTGATGTTTTACTTTCTCTCACTATATCTAGGTCATTTCGTAGCAATGGGGGCGTGGCCATTTTATGTAAATAAGACGTCTGCATACATTCCAACAAAACGACATTCCCATTTGCCAGAGTAGTCGCGCCCGACCCATTGAACCAGTTCGGATCCATTTTTTTGGTGGGGGCCAACTAAAATGTTGATCCCCAAAAAGTATACGGTCCCAAAAATTACAGCGCGGGGTTCGGGGCCTGCTTAAAGGCCCCAGAACAAAACTTATTGATTCTAGATGCTCTGTGGTGCGATCTAAGGCAATTTTCTGGCGTTGTATGCCTTTATTGCGACGTACATAAAATATTGGGTTCGTATATTTGTTTTTATTGGGGGGAGGGGGGGGGGCGCCATGGCGCAAATGTTTAAAACCGTCGGGCGAGCCATTGAACCATTTCTCGACCGCTGATTGGTTTCTTCGGAAAGCCTGGGGAGAAAATATTAAAAAGGCGACGTCGCAAGAAAGGCAGGCACATGCGTTCACCACAATCTTTTCCTCAAAAACAATTGGTTAAAGTTGTCAGAAATTGCCTTAGATCGCCGAAATTGTTTTGACCCACTTTTGGGGGGACCAACAATTTCATTTTTTCGGCCCCCAAAAAATTGTGTTATGGATCTGCCCTTCCTTTCGTCAGGGAGTCTCAACGCTAGGACTCAGGCCTGCCTACCCCCGCTATTCAAGGGTTTGTTTGAAGTGACTGAAGCGTGTTCAATATATATATATATGCTTTATATTTTTTAGCTAGGATCACCGATTTTACAGAATTCTGCAAGAAATCTGCTAAAACTGTCCTTCTGCTAGATTTTCTGCTACATTCGGGTCTTATTGCAAACAGTCTGTCAAATCTAGCCGAAAATCATCTAAATCATTACCCTGCAAGGTAACAATTTACAATTTACATTTTTTTCCCCCAGACTTCTTTGTCCAATCAAATTAGTTAGATTAACAAGTGACGTCACCCTTTATTCTTCTGACCAATGAAAGACCACGAGAGCCACGTGTGCTACGTCACGGATACTTCCTCAAAATGCCCTTTCGTCGTTAAAAAAATAAAATAGGGAATTTTTTTTCTGAAATTGATGCTACTCCATCTGGAAATGACTATTCCTTCAAATTTGTTTTTCTTTTTCTTCAATTGATAATTTCCATTCATAGCTGAGAAAATTACTATGCGGAGAAATACACACTGAGTACTTTGGTCCAAGGCAGCGCAAAGACCCCAGTACGGAGCAACAGCCAGCGATATGACTCTTTATCATTACGCCATGGACAATAATATCGAGAACGGGGTCAACGGACACTGGGAGACAGCACGCAATGGCTTCACGCTATGTTTTGGTCAGTCACCAAAATTTGCCTCAAATTTCACAGGCAAAACTTGAGACTTAAGCCTCCGAGTCTGCCGTTCAGCTTCAAGCCCCCAACGTGGACATTTGTACATCTTACCCAGGAGTCTTCATGGGCGCAAAAAAAACTAAATTTTAATGCTTGGAGTCTTGCAATTCGACCAGAAAACCGGCCTCATGAACGGGGTCACGGCAACATTTCGACGCAGACACGTTGCGGCTTCGTCGACTACCATACTGAAAAACTGACTTGAACTTTGCTGTCATGGCTGTAGGCCTACTTGTCATAACTTTTATTTTACTGAACTGAACTGGACTTCGCAACTGCATTCCTTTGAATGCTCATTTTGTGCTGAACTGAACATGGAATTTATGTGAACTCATAATTTTGTCGAAGGATCTGAATGATGTTAATGGAAAATACTGAAGTCAAGCTTTTGGAGTTCGTCGGGGTAAGTCCAACTTTAAATAAGGAACTATCGAGATGAGTGAAAATGTATCTTCTCCTCCGGTCACACAGACCCAATAGAGGAAAAAGCGTCTGAATATTCTGCATTTTGAGCAATATGGCACCTAATATTTATGCCTGCATTTCAATCTCACTTCGAAGTAGGCAAATGTAGCCAGAAAAAAAATCCCCTCTTTGGTCCTTCAAATTGTTAAATCGCATTTAATGAAAACAGTTTTAATGTTATGTACAATAAGCATAATGTATTGCATTTAGTACATGAGCTTGTGTTTGCATTGTTGAATATTGTGGGAAATTGTGCAATTCTTCTCTTTATGTATAGTATCTCAATTTACTAGAATATGCACCATACTTGTGTTTGTTGCCAACAAAAATGGCGTCCATTTCGAGTATCCTATACTTAGAGCTTGTCTTTTGCATTGCTGAATATTGTACGTTGAAATGCCATTCCTGTAGGCGAAAACCCTTTTTCTTTAGAGTAATTT